ACTCCGTCGGAGATCATGCCGGTCTTATATAGCTGCTTGACCAGCTATGAAACAACCTGCACCAAATCAGGCGACTTGGTGTCCATGACATGCATACTCCGGCTAGGTGCTCTTCTCGACCTCCGCGCAGTACCCAGTCATATCACTGCTCTGCCATCTCTTCAAAGAGCCGGTTCAACTGCGATGGCGTCTTGTTCAGCATATTGCCCCATAGACCGAGACGATCAGTTGCTTGTCTTTTATGAATAGAGCACGATAGAAGGTGCCCACCTTGAAAGCGTAATTGAAACCGTGGTTAGGACACCTAAGGTAGAGGTTGGTGTACCTATCCCAAGCATCCTGAATGGTTTCATCCTCCTCCTGGGTGAAATGAATAATCTTTTTCTGTAAATCAGCTATCCTGAATGGTGGATGATACAAGGTGAGAAACTTGTCGGTCAGGCTGACGAATGTAATGATCGATCCCGGAGGCTGGGTGTCCAGCCACTCCTTTGCTTGCCCCTCTAGAATGAAGGGGAAGTACCTCAACTGGATGGCGTACGCAGGAACCCCATTAATCTTGATTCAATCGATCAGCTCGTGGAATCGCCGTAGGTGCGATCGAGGGCACTCTCCGTCCTTCCCACGGAATACCATCGAGCCGCGCAACATGGTGATGACAGAGGTGCTCACCTCAAAGTTATTAGGTGGAACTTGAGGGTGCTGGATGGGCGACCTCATGTCTGCGGCTCTGGCAGACCTGTAGTATCCCATGGTATGCTCATCAGGAACAATGTTCTTGTCATTGTTGGGTTCTACCATGTCGTCTTCCTGGTTGCTGTTCAACTTCTCCAAAGCTTCCTCCACAGCCAGTCGCGCTTTAAAAGCTCGCTTAAAGTTACGACAAGTTCGTTCTAGTTCTTGATCCAATGGCAGTAGATCTCCCGACTGGCTATGGGTCATGCACTACCTGCACACAATCAGCAAAAGCAATCCGTGAATGCAGTAAAGAAAATGCTAAAGTAATAGACTTTCACATTTCTACAATAACCTAGAAGCTCCCCGGCAACAACGCCAAAAACTTGACACGCTATCACACAACATGATACAACCCAGAATTGCGTCATTACCAAGGTCAAATTACTTGCCCACGAAGCTAGCCCAACTCATTTGAACAATCTGGAATTTTGGCCAAGTGTATTGACGAGTTCAGGTAGCCAACTTTGGGAGCTCGGTTCTACCAATTGGGATGGTGGAAATGGAAGGTTAGGGTATGGATTTGATCTTGGTATTCTCCTCTACAAGCTAGAGTGGCTGGCAGCTCGAAGGGAAACTTGGGAGTACAATTTCAAGGCTCGCCAAAATGGTACCTCAACACTGGGAAAATGGCAGGAATTGCCCAAGTGTCAAATGGCGAGCAGCATAGCCACTTTGAAGCTATGCTCCGGAAAGATGATGCAGATTCGAGAGAGGAACTTCATGCCACATGAAACTACATATTTCACTCTACAGAGGAGAGGCATTGGGTGATCAGTGGCGTACTTGGAAGGCGTCGTTCCAGAGCCTCAAAGTTGGTGTCAAGGGCTGTTTGTTGACGCGGAGCTTACGGCAGGATTGTTCTTGTTTCCTTGTTTGAGTTGGAGTTTTATTCCTTTTCTGTTTGAGGATTATTTTGTCGAGTTCTAGTAGGTTTAGGAGGGTGTTAATCGAGTTATTCTAGCTAGCTATATAAGGACGTTTATTAAGTTGTAATCGGCAGTCGAAGTTTAATAAAAGAACCCTTGTCATCGAGTCTTTTCAAGCTCTTTGATTGTCCTTGTTGCGTGGATTCAAGTCCATCAATAAGCGAGCTCAGCATCGATTGATTCACCACATCAATCGTGGGCGAGTTGCACCATCGTTGGATCGAGCCTCTTCCCCGTAAGTCGGTGTTGAAGTTGCACCTTCCAGCTCCGTTTACCCTATTCTTGCATTGTTCTGTTTGTTTTCCATTCGCACGCTGAAGTTCTTGAAGTTTTTGCTCGACTGGATTCAAAGCTCGTGGGTCTGACCATATCACAACACAAAACTACGACCAAGTATAATCGTAGTCGAGAAATGCAGAATAGTGGTAAGTTTAATTTATCAACTCGCGGCCTAGATCTACTGCCTACTCCGTGATTACCTATTATCTAGCGATAAAGATTTAGTGAATGTGATTGTAAACAAAAGCAGTAAAGTGTTCGGTTTTCTAAAGCAAGGGAAGAGTCACTCCCAAAGTGTTTGGTTTTCTAAAGCAAGGAAAGATTCACTCGGGAATGAGTCCCCCTAGCTCCTCAATTAGGTTCAAGTTGTAATTTCCTTTGGTTAATTTACTGTTGATTAAACTCCGGAAGATCCGACAGTAGCTTTCAATCTCGTAAGCTGACCAAGCCCCCTCAGACAGACTACCCGGCAGACGACTAGTCTTCACTGAGATAGAACGCTGAGGAAATTAACACAGAACTCAAATACTGGAAACAGATTCCAGTACAAAGTAGTGAATTGACAGACTCTCGTACAATCAATTCCCTAACACATGGAACTAGGATTCTTCATTCCCAAGTAAGAGAAAGTTCTACTCCATAGAGAGATATAGGAAAACAAAAATCAAAGCAGTCATACTCAAAAAGATGGGAATAATCTGCTATGGGATGTCAATCCTCACTCCTGGGATGCAATCTGGACTTCAATGGTGAGAAATCCACTCCAAATAGCTCCTAATGTTTGTTATTCGCACTTTCCCTCTCTAAAATTATGTTTTTGCTCCAAAAAGTCGAATTCTCTTCTTTTGGATCGAAACTGCCAGTTTATCCCGAGACAGACCAAAACACGGTCGCGGACACCACCGTGTCCAAATTTGTCCGCTCGTGTTCTTCTCGTCACGTGGGGAAAACTTAAGCTAGAGTCAGGGTACACACTCGCGCCGAGAAAAACACTGGTGTGGCCTACGAGGGACATGACCGTGTTTCAGAACAACGACGTTTGTGCTTTGGACTCTTCAGCAGCAGTCACCAACAAGCTCTCGACATAAAAAACACTAGCGCGGTACACGGTCGTGTTTTGGGTCAATCGTGCACGTGCTTTGCTCTTCCTTCGCCTTGAGCTGCGCACTAAAAAGAAATAGGGCACTCCATGGTAAGCACGCTCGTGCACTTGAGTGGTGTCACCCTTGTTTTGCCCTAGCTTCATCGAATGACCTCCAAACGGCCCGAAACTCGTGGCTAGCCCTTCCTTTAACGCGTGAGACCTAAAATGTGACAAAAGAGCACAATCCATTGTAAAATAGGCCAAAGATACACGAATACGAGTCACATATGGATAAGACACAAAGGTGCAAACATGTGCAAATACATCATTATCAGAGTGCTTTTAGGCTTAGGTCGATCTCCTTTGCCTCGAGTACGGTCTCCATTGCCCATAGCACAAATTCTTTCATTTTGAACGGCAAAGGCAGCCGCTTCAGATGCAGGCTTTCTCCTTTGCGCTAGAAGGCGGTGATTTTCATCATTGACTTCATGGATAGAATCTGACTCCAAACTGTTCCGAAATTCTCGTCCAGCCCCATAAGAAAATCAAATAACCTAGATGTCTCCTCCTTGGCTTGAATTCGACGCTCAAGGCCATATTGACAGAGACCACAACTACATGCCTCACTAGGAGAAATTGCATTGGCCTCCTCCCATAATGTACACAATTCAATGTAAAAGGAATATACTGTGAGCTTCTCTTGCCATAAGGATGAGATTAGGCGGTGGAGCTCATACCCTCACGTAAGAGACCCATGGCCGAACTCTCTTATGCCGATTTAGCATAACGCACACTACTGTGAACCTCTTTGTTCATGGTCAAATGAAGCCAACCCTTCACATGTGTGTCACATCGAGTCTACATTCGCATCTCAGGATCCTTTTTCTAGTTTCGGGATTGTTCCGTCAATGAAACCAAACTTCACATTTTTGATAATCAAGGCGTCGGTCACATCTACAACCCATTAAGCATAGTTGGTTGGTGTGAGAGGATCACCTACTTTTAATTGAATGTCTGACTGTTACTATTCGAAGGATGAGGATAGTAGACTGAAGAATGGTCGAATCCACCATCGACACTTAGCACTAGAAAACTTGGTTTCCTTCTCATCTGAGTTCTTTGCGTCATCCGTGTTCACCATATTGATGCGAGAGCAACATTATTGGGAGCCGTGCTCTGATACCATGAAAAAAGATGAAAGCGTGAATAAAATGACAGACAATATTTTACGTGGTATCTCCGATATAATGATCGGGACTAGTCCACGGGAGAGGTTAACCTCTCTAGCTTATGCTCTTATTACTCAATAATTCATGTTACAGGTCTAGAGACCTTACACTCATATATGTATATATATATATATATATCTTGCTAGAGAGGGGTAACCATTTTAACCTAGCCGAAGTACGTAGGCTATTAGATTTTTCAATCCTTTTGGACGTAGGAGACATATACAAGCAGGCCATGTGTGCTATGGGTTGCTTCTCGTGTGAATCCTGGTCCAAAAGGACTCTTAGTTTCACCGTGTTCCATAGGGATCCGGGCTACCTAGTGGCCTATAAATATTGGATTTGGGCTATATAGTGGCCTATAATATTAAAACCTGAGAGAGTTCCTCTCTGTGGACTAGTGTCTCCGGACGATACCATGTTAAAAACTTCATGTCTTCTTTATCTTTTGCGATTCGTATTTCTAAATTGACATGGTATGAGAGCATCACGATTAAGGGCTTGGTTTTGTCTCTTTTGGTCGTAGTCTCATATTCTGGGTTTTGGGAGCGGATATGGTGACAACACAATATTTGTTGTTATTGTAACAACAACATAGGTGGACCAATAGGAACCCACCATTCTGCATACTTTTGAAATTCATGCATTGACTAGGGTAAAAAACAAAGGAAGGGATTTTTGTCATACCGAAACATTGCAGCTCCTTTTGTCCGAAAAATTGCAGCTCGTTTCTCTCTCCCCACTTTATTCTCTCTCCAATCGCGCGGCGCCGAGGCTGAACGACGGCGACGAGGTCCTGGTCGCAGCAGCTACCGCAACGGCGACGAGATCCTGATCGTAGCAACTACAGCAACGGCGGCGATGGCGAAGCAATGTCCTGATCGCAACCAAGACATTGACGATGGACGAGAATCGTGTAGATGTAAGTTTATGTTGGTTCTGTAGATGCTCAACCACTCCTGCAAATTGCAACATCTTCTGACAATGCAACAGAAGGCGGATATCAGTTGGAAACCACTATTTCCACCAACAGTGGCAACAATGAACAAGAAGAAGGTACTCTCAACTCAATCCTTCCTGTTTTCTTACAATGAGCACCACAATCACGCTTATACAAGCCATTTACCATATCATAAGCACTACCATTCAAACCGCCCACAAAAATCCCACAAACGATACTAAAAGCATCGCCAAACACACCACATTCTTCCCAAAACAAACCACAGGAAAAAAGAGACAATAAACCAAAACACTTAAAAACCAAACCACAAAACTTCTTAAACGCACCAAAACACCTTCAATGCACACCATTAAAACCTAAATCGTTACATTCCGCAATCTGTTTGTAAAAAGAAATCACACTGTAATGCAAACCATAAATTTAGTAAAAGCATCATGAATAACTACAATGCAAACCACTTTTCACTTTTCTAGCAAATATCATCGCAAGATGAAATGATCAAACCGCCCACAAAAATCCCACAAACGATACCAACAACATCGCCAAACACACCACATTCTTCCCAAAACAAACCACAGGAAAAAAAAGTCAATCAACCAAAACACTTAAAAACCAAACCACAAAACTTCTTAAACGCACCAAAACACCTCCAATACACACCATTAAAACCTAAATCGTTACATTCCGCAATCTCTTTGTAAAAAAATCATACACTGGAATGCAAACCACAAATGTCATAAAAGCATCATGAATAACTACAATGCAAACCACTTTTCACTTTACTAGTAAATATTATCGCAAGATGAAATGATGATGTGCTCATTTCTTTCATCATTGCTTACAGGTGTGACATCAAACAGGTCTGAGTCAGACTACACTAGTTTAGGGTTGGCATTCAAAACCATTGAGGAAACAAAATAATTCTACAAGAACTATGCTCTCGATCTTAGCTTCAGCGTGAGGGACATGGGAGCTGTCAAACGTTCTACAAAAAGACAGCCAACCAAAACAGCACGATATGCTAGGTATTGCTGCAGCAAAGAAAGATACAAGACCACAAGCAAGTCAAATCCCAAGAATAAAGGATCAATCGATGTTAAGGATTATCAATGGGCTGTACCAGAAACTAGAGTTGGCTGCCCAGCTATAATCAAATTTAGATATGATATCAAGAAGGATGAATGGCTGCTGGACAAGTGGATAACAGAACACAACCATGATCTCCTCCCTCCAAAACACATCTGTTGAGGTCAAGTGGATAACAGAACACATATGTTGAGGTCAAACAAGGGGATCTCAGAAATGCATGTAATGGTCGCACAAGTGCATGCAGATTGTGGAGTTTCACTACGGAAATCATATGAGTTGTTCACCACAACTTCAGGGGGTAGGGTGAATGTACCTTTTACCCCTCATGATCTGAAGAACTATATCACAGGGACAAGGCAGTAATCAATGAAACCAGGCAAAGCAACTATATTTCTTGAACATTTTCGCCAGGAAGCTTACAAGAATCCATCATTCTTCTATGAAATTAAGGTAGATAGTAATGAAGATATTGCAAGTATATTCTGGGCTGATGCAAGAATGCGGTTTGACTACAGTTTCTTTGGAGATACGATCAGTTTCGACACCACATACAAGACAAACCAGAATTATCGTCCACTAGGTCTGTATTCCTTGCACTAGTTAATTTTCTTGAGATTTCGAAGTTGAATGCATACCAAACATTACACAATGCATTAGGAGGTTTCTGGGGTGCTTTCGTAAATGTTGTGGTTTGCTTTGTGAGGTTTGTGGTTTGCATTAAGAGGTTTCTGGTCTGCTTACGCAAATGTTGTGGTTTGCTTTGTGGAGTTTGTGGTTTGTTCAAGGAGATTTGTGGTATGCATTAGAAGGTTTATGGTTTGCATTAAGAAGTATTCCTTGCACTAGTTAATTTTCTTGAGATTTCAAAGTTGAATTCATACCTAACATTACGCAATGCATACCATAAGTAACATAAAACCACCCAAAAGACTCTTAAAACAAACGACAAAAAAAAACATGAAACATTCATTTTGAGAATCCTAACCAGAAACCTCCTAAACCACACTAAACACGTCCTGAAACACACCATATATATCATAAAAGACAGTCTTTGTTTGTTTCAATGTTTAATTCTATGTTGTTCTTTTTTTTTATTTTTAAATTACAACTTGTTTGTTGGCTTCAACCACTCCGCATCTTCGGGGCTGCTCTCCTATATGATGAAAAAACAGCTACATTCAAGTGGTTGTTCGATGCATTCTTGAAATGTATGTCAGGCACCCGACCAACATCATTATTCACCAACCAAGCTGCTGCAATCGCCGCTGAGATTAGATCCGTCATTCTTGAAGCATTCCATGGCTTGTGTACTTTTCGTATCAAGCAGAATGCAATGAAGCATCTCGACATCATAAACACAAATGATATGATTCTGGAATCGATCAAATTTCATCCAGGATTAATCGTTACAGAGGCCAAGTCGAATTGCAAAGAAGAAGCTGAAAATTGTCCCCGTCATTTTCCGTGTTCAAGCAGACGATTTTGGAGGCACGTTTCTCTTAATTGGCTCAATGGAAATTCAAGTTTAATGGCTTGTGTTGAACATGGAATGATTATCTAAACATTGGTATGCTTGGTTGCTCAAGAAAAAGTCATTAAGGTTGTTTTCCAAGGACTCAAAACTGGAAAATTGGAAAACTGCCAGAAAATGGCTAAGGCAGAAAATTGTGTTGAGATACCAACTTTGAAGGCCTATATCTGGAGTTTGGAGTATGATCTCAGGCTGATGCAAGTTGGAGATTAAATAGGAAGTTTTCTTCTACAAAGGAAAGGGATTGGTTGAGTTCGAATCAAACTACAAGATCATTTTCGAAGGTCTCAAAGATGCTATAAAGCCTGTTTTCCTAGGCAGACTTGCTTGTGTTTTAAGTCAGTTTCTTGGCTTGCAAGTTATCTCGTTTTACACGAATTCTTTAGCCTTTTCCTGTTCTAATTAGTTTCCTTGTTAGTTTAGAATTGTATTAGGTTTTCTTTGGCTATAAAAGCCCTCTATTTTCGTTGTAATAGTTAGAGAATTGTTGAATAAAAATTACTCCGAGGAGTTTATCCCATTGAGCTTGCTAGCTTGATTTTGGTCTCGGATTTGTCCTAGACTTGTAGACTTCTCTTTCAAGTCATTCATACTTGTTTGAGTAGTGCTTCTACCTTTCAAAACCGATTGAGCTTGTCCCCAAGTGAGGATTTTTCCTTTCGTTTCAAACCCATCCCAATTTCGTATTAAGAACGCCTTGTTCTTGATTCGAGTTCAATCAATCTTCGGATTGATTGTTTGCTGCGTAACTTTGGTAAAAATACACCCCCAGGGGCGTATTAACAAACATTCTAGAAGATCTGAAATATGTCACTTTTCGAGTAGAAAATGAGGAAGAATTTGAGTACAATTGGTCAAGGTTGCTAGACACATATTATTCAGAAGAAGGCACCAATCCAAGGAACTAGTTGGATTCAATTTACAAGGTGAGGAAACAGTGGTCTTAATCATGGGTTAAGGACCACTTCATAGCTGGTATGCAAAGTTCACAGTTGAGTGAGTCTTGTAACTGCAACCTTCGAAACTACCTTCAACCAGATGACAACCTAGTTGAGTTCATTACATACTTCAACAAGTTGGTTGAACGGAAAAGATCAGACGAAATAGACATGGATTATCAAATGGCAAACACAGTCCCAAACAACATGTACGTAGTACTTCCTTTATTTGAACTTTTTATACTGTAGAATGCATCCACAAGTCTCCTTGTCCAAACAAAAAACAGCAGCAAACACCCCACAATTGATATAAAACCCTACTAGAACAGTTGAATACAAACCAGATACCACCTAAACCAACCCAAAAACCCTACAATCCACACCACAGACCACCTAATACAACCCATAAACACCACAATGTACACCGCATGAGCAACAACCCATGAACTCCACAATCCACACCACACACGACTTAAAATAACCCATAAATCTCACAAACAGTTCCATACATACCATAAAATCATTAATGTAGACAAGATGCTTATGAATGATTGTATGTTGTATGTCATCTTCCAACAGGTATGACAGAAGCCCACTTGTTCAGCAAGTCTCAAAATTATACACAACTAAGATCTACAGTTCTTTCCTTGAGGAGTATTCAGAAAGCCTTGCTTTTTTTGTGTTCCTGAATGAATCTAAGGATAAATATGGAATGACAACTTATGAAGTGAAGAAACTGGGAGGATTCAAGAAAAGAGTCGTGTAAGTGAACAAAGAGGAGAAGAAATACAAGTGCTCATGTCGTTTGTTTGAAAGTTCAGGCTGGTTGTGCAGACATGTAGTCAGGCAAATAGAGATGGTTGGATTCAATGGTGATGATATTGAGCAATTGGCTATCCCTAAGGAATACATTCTGCCACGATGGACGAGAGATGCCAAATCTGGAGAGAAGTTCACAATAAACACAACAGAATGTGCTGCAACAGATACTTATGCAGGGAGGTATCAAGAACTGTGTGCTAGCATGGTTATCCTAGCAACAAAAGTCTCAATGAATGACAAGGTCTTCTCAATGGTTAAGGAAAAGATTGCAGAGCTCACTAAACTAGCTTTCCAAAGCCTTCTTACTCAAGAAACTCAACAAATTGCTAGCATCCCTACTTATATTCACCAGTAATTGCTTAATCCAAGCCAATAATGATCTAATCCAACCCATAAAAATCTTAATCCAATCCACTAATTGCTTAATCCCTACTTATGTTCACCAGTATCTTGCATATTGCTTTTTCACCAGTTGGAACCACCGGTACATCACCCTCACAAAGCGCTGCTGCTTCAGCTACAAATGACAAGTATGCCAATGTGAAGGGATTCAAGGCTCGACAAGACCATGGAAATCAAAGAAGAGGCCAAGAGGTGAACTTGAGGTAGCGCTAGAGAGGGCTAGAAAGCAAAG